TGCCCAAAGCGTGTCCCAGGGATCAGGATCTCTATGAGCTATTAATGAGTGATAACAAGAGATTATCAGTGATTCTGATTCGGTGGGTCTGTGGTGCGGCCCAGGTATGCACATCTTAAAGTACCACCTCCAGGGAATTCTGATGCAGCTGCTATGTGGACACTTTTGAGAAACACTTCTTTATTTAAAGATGTCTATGGCCCAAGGGTGCTCGATAAAGTAACAGGACAGCCCTGCACTAACATTTGGCTTCATAGCAACACCTCTACAAGGTAGGTAATGATATAATCATCTTCATAACCAGAAATAGGAAGTGGAACCCTGGAGAGAGAAGGTGAAGGCCCTGGGCCAAGGCCGCCCAGGGGTCAGTAGGTGCCTTAAATTCAACAAGCATCCTGTGGGTTTTCTTCCCCACCTCACAGACTTCTCTCCTCCTCCTCCCTAATCAGCTCTTTATTCACCAGCTTCTGAAGTGCTGACAGCTCTCTCTGATTCTCCCTTTGATTTTAGTGACAGGCCAACAAAACATTGCTGGCTATTTGTACTTGCTCCTGGTAATTCTGATTAGCTCAGTTCTGTCAGCTGAATCCTAAGTTGCCAACGGCCAAGAGAAGCCTGTTTATTCAATCAGGGTCTGGCTCATTTTCTAATTACCAGCTTCATTTGGGCTTGCTTCTTCCAATGGAGAACTTGCTTGAGTTCAAGTCATCCTCATCTGTTGCATTTACATGAGGAATGGATCCTTTGTCACATCTGTGTCTGTGCCAGTGCTCCAGCCTCTGCCTCCCTGGTGGGGACCAAATGGCATGTGTTTCCCTGTGTTCCCAGGCTGCTGCTGGCCAGCAGATCCCACCGGGATCCCCGGGGCTGGCCCAGTTGGGGGATGGACATGCTGGCTTTCCTCATAGGCTCGCCTGGGTGACCTCTTCCCAGCTTCTGAGTTCCAAATTGTACTCCCACTCAGAGGCCTGATAGGGTGACCAACTGTCCCAATTTTCCAGGGACCAGGAGTTTTCCCAGGACATGGGATTTTTAGTGCTGAATGTGAGAGGGTCAGTCACTGCCCCTGCCACGCCAGGACACAGAGTGAGGACATCCAGCATTCCCCGGGTGATCTAGCCGGAGTCTGCAACAGAGAACTGACTGGGGGGTGGGGGCCCCATCTTTCTCTGTCAGACCTCAGACTGATGCATCCCTTCACAGCTCTGGGCCTTCTTCTGCTTTAAATCTCTGAAGAAGCTTCATTCCCAACGTGGACAAGCGGAGGTGTGCAGGCATGTTCTGAGATGAGGGTGACACCAAGGAAGGAATGACTGGTGTGAGCCCTTTGAATGGGGGTGCAACCTCCTCAAGGTACTCTTACCGATTCAAAAACATATTAAGCATTTATTAAGTACTTGGCAACATGAGCAAGGCAAGCCTATGTCCTGTATATCCCAGGCCTCAAAGAGTTGGCAATGCTGTGGAGACCCTGACAGTGAACTGTACCTGCTATAAGGTTACTGAGGGGGCCACCAATGGCAGAAGGCCACGGGTGCTAGGGAAAAGAGAATCGGGGCACCTCTGTTACTATATGCCAGCTACTTTACCTTCATTTTCTCATTTAACAGCTGGCAGTTCTTAAGTACTTACCATGGGACCAGTCCATTTAATTTTTACAACAATTCTATTACTACACCCATTCTATGAATGAGGAAAATGAGACTTTGAAAAACCAACTATCTTGCTCAAGATTGTAAATTAGTAAAAGGAGAGTCTAGGGTTTGAACTGAGAGAGTCTGAACCTTATCTTAAATACTGTCTGAGACTGAATCTCCTACACTTGTGGGATGCTAAACCCTCAACATAGCCAGGGTACTGGACAGTCAACATCAGACAGCAGCAAGAAGGTGGGCTCTGGGAGAAGAGCAGTGTGGCTGTGCCTGGTGGAAGAATGGCACAGAGAAACATGAGGTGGGGTCTCTGAGTTCTACACCATGAAATCCCAAGGCATGAGACCAGGAATGTCCCACTGGAGGGTTGGGAATGCTGGGAATACTGATGTTCTAAGGGAAACTGGCTGGACAAATGCTGCCCTTCTGGCCCCTAGCTGCACTAGATTCTAAAGAATGTACAACTAGAATGTGAAGCCAAATGCCTGACTTCTTTATCATCCTTCATGGGCTAAAGATGAGTGAGTGACAGTTATTATTTTATATTTTTTTAATTGCATTTGTAAATTCTCAAAAGCATATTTTTCTTATGCTCTTAGAACATCTGAGCAACTTGCTTTGGATATATATATGGTATTTGATATATGAAATCAAATAAAAATGTGCTTATTTGATATGCTATGACTGACTTTAATATGTGCAATGTTACAGTCGACTTAGCAGTTAGGTATTCTAACATGACCAACTACTGAAAGTGCTCATTTCAGTAATAACAATCCATAGATACAGCATTCTTGTGGACACTGGACTATGCTAAATATCCAGAGCCTGACATTGTATAATTAATGTCCTTAGAAACATTCTCAATTATCTTTTTCTGTTACTTTATAGGTTTTCATTTGTGTAAAATGAATACATAACTTTAGACAATGAAGCATTAAAAACACTTGTTAGAGGTTCTTATACAGAATATTGGGTTGTCTGGGGCCTTCCCATGACTCTGAGACTGCAAGTCAGCTCCTGGCAATGTCAGGTGTTAGGATCCCTGGGGCTATAGAAAATAAGAGTTTTTTAATGGCGAAGAAAGGCTTTCTCTATTTGCTTACACTCAGCTTTGTCTTATAATGGCCTTTATGCTTTTGCACATAAAGAGAAGCTGACTTTGAGCTCTATCCATCTAAAATTTTTGCTCCTTTTGCTCAGTAAAACTAGAACAAGGAGTTGCTCAGGACAGCTGCTTCCTTCTGGTGGACACTTGGGGAAGGCATTTCCCCTCCTGAACATGTCAGCTGGAAAGGGCTGAAAACTCCCAAGAAGTAGACCCATGTTCTCTGTGAAACCAGAGTGGTTTCCCTACCCTCTTCATTTTCGTGGCTCCTCTTCACTCTTCCCTTCATTCTTAACATTGTCTGAAATTAGTTTTATCAACTCTTTCCAGTCTTTTAATTCCCTTGAGCAGTTCCTACAACTTTTTATTTTTGTAGTGGTTGTTTACACACAACAGGACAGTCCTTTATACAGAACAGTCTAGCAAAACTCAATCATGATGCATTTTAGCTTCTTTCCACTTTCTTCACTGTCCAACTGAATTCAGAGATCACTTAATTCCTGCCCACGAGAGCTTTCTAGAAAGCTGCTGTGAGTGAAATGAAGACAATGAGCACTCCTTTAGCCAATGACATATCTCAGTTGTACCCACAAAGTTTTGCTGTGTTTCAGAACTACTAAGTGATACCAAGAAAAATATTTTTTCCCATGTAATCTCATAGAGCAAAAATAGATTTCAAATTGAGAAACTCTGAAGGTGATATGTAAATTTCCCCAATATCTTCTCTGCCAGATTCAGGTTCTGTACTGTATTAACATCCTTTTTGTATTTGGATTCTTTAACATCTGGTGCCTTGCTGACCCTGGAAGGCACCCCTCCCAGGGCTAGCCAGTTCCTAGAGACCGTAAACAACTAACCCTTGAGCTGCTTCCTCACCAACCAGTCCAGAGTCCACACTCCCAACCATCTCCTCTATCACCTCTTACACTTAGCGCTACTTTCCCTGGCCCTTATCAGCCCTGGTCCAGGCACCAGAGGACTAGGGCAGCCCTTAAGCCCCATGGTATGCTGAAATTTTTCAAATTAATCAATCTTAAGCTTTTTTTTTTTTTTTTTTACCTTGTCTTGCCTGTTCCTTCTCAGAGAAACCACAATAAAGGCTCTTGCCATGTCTTCTCTCTTCCCTCTGACTCTCACCAAACCTGGCAGCCCCCATGTGGCCCCTCATGAGGAGGTGTGTGTACCCCCCTTCTCTTGGGGTCTGTGAGTATAATAAACTATCTTTTCAATGGCAGTTGTTGCCTGATCTGTTGGCCTCACCTTACATAAATAAGAGTATAAAACCTGTATTTAAAAACCATGTACATAAAGAGAAAGGAATATAAGGGTAGGAAAAAAACCATAACCTGGCCTCTGCACTCAAACCTGGCCTTTATTCAAATGGACTTGGATGAAATTTAGTTGTTCTGTCAGTTATACTTGGCAAAAATGCCACTTTAACTGTTTTAAGAAAAAAGCATGTATTATACTGGGTAAGAAAGTACTTATAGGGCCAACTTGAGACAGCGCATCCAGGTTAAGATGTGCTGTGCTACAAAAGAAGAGGGAGTTTCTGGGGAGACTAGACTGATAAAGCATGGATTGAGTCCAACTGTGAAAAGAGCTTATGAAGAAAATTGAAGGAGTCCCCATTCACCTGAACAATAACAGTTAAGTATTTTAATCAAATGTTCTGGATCTTAATATATCCCATTAAAACTGCATCACAGAGATTCAGTATGAAAAAACAAAGTCCCTGTGATACTATATTTTCATCTAGGACTTACTTCAGTCTCTACTGCTGGAGTAAAAGCTACTCAGAGGCAATTTTACTTGACTTCCTATGCCTACGAGCTGATACACAGGATGTGCTAAATATTTATTTACTGACTGAAGAAATGTTCCTCATCATCTTTGAATACGTGTAAGAGATGACATGAGAGATCAAAGATGCCCATTTAAATGATTAAGAAAATAGGGGACTGATTTTGGAGCTGAGAATTAAAGCTACTTCCTCTGGCCCAAACCATTACAATCCCACCACATTCTGCTCCTCCTCAGAGAGAAACTGAAGCCCTTACTTTGTGGCAGTGGACATCTTGGCATCTCCTGACCTTTAGCTGACCTCCGAATCCTGTCTAATCTAGCAATCCTCCGGCTAGCCATTAGTGAGCATTTTGCATGGATTTGGCAGTGAACAGTGACAAGTGGCTGAGCTCCTGGAGCTGGCTTGGGTGCCATTGCTGCATGGTGACACTTACCAAGGGCTCTAGCTCCTTGCGGTCTATGAGATTCATCTCTGTAACGAAGTAATAGAAGTGTTTGTAGCAGGTGTTGACGTGGGCCTCCGCACCCATCACAATGACCCTGTCAAAGTGGTGGATGTAGACGTGGACAAAAACTCGAAAAAGGCGGCACAGGATCTTCTTGCAGATCTGAAGGAAGTTCTTTGGGAAGGGAACACCTAGAGACAGGAAAAAAGGAACGAAACCATGATGGAAAAGCTTTGGCAAGTCCCAGAGCACAAGCCCCATGGAGAACAGTCCTGGACCTGAGCTTCTAGGCCAGCCTATAGATGCCCAGCTCTAGGGGGCCAGCTGAGTCACACACTGCCTGAAAGCATGGCTAAAATGGTGTTAAATTCAAATGCCATAAATGTCCAGGAAGAGACCAAGAAAGTGAGTGAAGAGGGCTTCGTGTCTTTGGTAGTAATATATAATAAATATATCACAATATATATTATATATGTGTATATATATATTATACATAAGCATGTATATATAATTTTGGTGTAGGTAAACATGCAGAAATATTTATTTGTACATAGAAATACACTCTCCTTTCTTCTCTTTTGTTTTTCCCCCTTTATAGAGCACAAGAAAGTTCATTTTCTGTTTACCTCTCATATAAGAAAACTGATAGAAGGAAAGCGATTCTACAGGGAGACTGGCACTCCCTGACCCAGAGTAATAGGGAAGCAGTAGGGACTGCAGCAAATGGAAAGCACTTTATCTTCAAAGAGAGAAACTGCCACATGGCTCCAACCAATGGTGGCCATATGAGGATGGAGGCTCAAGGCTGTCAGAACTTCTGATTTTTCAAGGCAATTCAGAAATCAGGAGTCCAACATCAATTTGCTATATTTAAAAAATGTTAGCAATTAATTTGAAGTTTTAGAATTACTATGGATCACAACAAAACAGCTTTCTAGGTTAATTCAGCCTGCAGGCTACAGGTATGCAAATTCTAATGCAAACTTTTCCTAGGATATGCTGTTTCTAAGGTGGGCAAATGCAAGAAACTTCATGCATGGAAGCTTCCCATTACACTGACTATCACTTCGTCTCCTCCATGAAGGTAGAGTTGTGGAGTCATGTTTTTCACAACACAGACAGGGCGAATGGTCAGAGGAAGCACCTAGATACCCTGCCTGATGATCACAGTCTCAGCTTGGTCAAAGAGACAAATAGTAGCATCACAAGCCCACTTCCTTTTTCCCTCTCAAGCACTGCTTAAAGTCTTGTTATTTAACTGTTTTTCAGTGGTCACATGTTATAAGGTAAACAGACTGAATTCCCTCCCACTCTGCTTCTTTGCCAGCTGTATGACCACGGGCAAGTTATTTTGCCTCTCTGAGCTTCAGTTTTTCCATATGTAGGATGCAGTCAAAATCCCAAAGGTCGTGAGGATTAGAAGTGGTATCCCTGCAACTTTGGTTTCTCATCTGTAAAAGAGGGATTGTAATAAAGGGCTTCCTTGCATGACGAGAAGACTGTTAACAAGAGTAAAATCCTCCTATGGTGCCTAGAACAGAAGAGCTTCTGAAACGACAATGACCTTCCTTCTCTCCACATCGTAAGGTCTGGAGCATCTAGCTGTAAGGAAAATAACTACCTTTACCAAGAAAAGGTAGACATGACCACCAGGCTTTCAACAGGTGTGCCCCTGGGTTCCTAGGAAGTCTGTATTTTTGCAGTCCCCACCTCTGCAGGGCCCCAGTGGCAGCTGTCTGGTCAGAGACACTGTTACAGGATCACCTGGGACCCCCAAAGTAGGACAAGTGAATTAGGACACTGGCTGCCAGTTGGCAGAGGCAGGATCTGCCTCCCCAGGGTCCGGCAATGATAATGACTTTTCTTCAAAAACAAAGTGGCAACATATCAAATGAACCCAGGGAGGGGCTTGGGCACAGCTTGGCAGCTGACTGTCTGGGCAACAGACATTGGGATTTGGAGTGGGGATGAGGCAAAGCAGAGGAGGAGGTGGAGGGCTGCCCCTCACAGAGCTTGTGTGTTTTTCTCTACTAATGGCATTGGAGGCCAGCAAAAACCACTGCTGCCAGGCTAGAAAATGGTCCAGAATCTTCAAAAAAGCTCAAGACCCAGAGATGCTGGAATCCCCTCTAAGAGAAATGTTACTATTAGAAGTGGAGTCCTGTAACCTACACAGCGGCAACGCCAGGGCCTGACATACTGTTCCTTCACAAGCTATCTATGAAGTCGGTTTGGCTATTCCTAACACAGAGGCTCTAAAGCATGGATTAACTTGCTCCAGGCTATTTAGCTAAAAAGTAGCAGGGCTGGGATTTGGACCAAGTCAGCCTGACTCTAACTCCAAAGGCTCTGCTTATGTGTAGTGTGACTCCCTCTTTGCCAAGGATGGAGACAGCTCCATTCCTGAGCACACTGAGGCATCTATAGGTTACTCTTTGGTGACACGAAATATAATTTAAAAAAAGAAAAGGGGTGGGGAGAGAGATGAAGAAAGTCCACACTCTTGGGAGCCACAGATCTGAGGTGCTAAGAGGTCAGCTGATAACTCTGCTGCCTTTCAGGAGAGAGATGTTTTCTCAGCTCAGACCTTAGGACCATAGATCTAGAACTTTAGTAAAAGCCAACATTTACTGAGCATTTACTATACCCTAGGGACTGTGCCAAGTGCTTTACATGGGTTAGCTGAGTGAGTCTCAGAACAAGACTTTAAGGTAGGTACTGTTATTGTTTCCATCTCAAAGATGAGGAAATAGACTTGGATGGATTAAGGAGCTTCCCAAGGTCACCCAGCTAGTAAAAGGTAGAGGAATGGCTTGAATGCAGGGCTGTCTAACTCCAAAGCCCAGGATCATCTTTTAGTTCTGAGATGCTGTTCTGGGGCTCTACACACACTTCCAGCTCCATGACCCTTCCTTTCTGGGTGGCCTGAGCCCCTCAGGAGCACTTACATTTCACATCCTCTGACTCCAGTTCCAGAGGAGGCTCACCAGCTGCTAGGGAACTTAGGGAGCCCCATCTGTGCTACTTCATCTGCTTGACCTTTTAAGCGAGCCCCATGCTCCAGGTAAGGCAAAGTCTTGGGCATACCGAAGATGTTCGGGGCCATTGTTGGTTCCCTCTAGATTGCCCCCAATTTAAATTCCCTGTCCCCACATCCTTGCCTCCACTCCACTCTGACTCTTGGTTTTGCCCTTCATTCCATAACTGGTCTCTGGCCTTGCCTTTGGCCTTAACCCTGGCTTGCCTCTTGCCTCTTACCTCTCCCTTTTGAGTTGTGACTGGTAATTACCTTTAGAGAAGCTGAGAGGAGTTGGTTTGAGAGTGTGGAAGACCTAGTTTAAATCCTAGACCTACAATTTACTAACTGTATTGGCAAGTTACTTCATCATTCTTTGTTATAAAATAGATAAAAACATTTACTTTGCTGTGTTCTTTTAATAGTATCTGTACTAACTGCACCTGGCACTTAGTGGGAACTCGGGGAGCAAGTCCTGCTTTTGCTCTTTCTCACCTGAACTCCTCTGATGAGTAAGACCAGAGGCTCAGAACCTCTTGGCTCTGGCTGCTGATTTAGACCTGACTCTTCCGGCATGCTTCAAAAGTGGATGGTGCAAACGGTCTGAGTCAGGACATGCTCAGCATGTTCTACAGTCACCCCAGACCAACTCAGGAAGCTTAAGTCCTAGGCTAGGAGTCTTAGGGAGCCCAGGAACCCCAGCAGCTTCTCTCCTAAGCCAGATATAAAATCCCAGCTCACAGACCATGGGGGTAAGAATAGGGAAGCTACATGGCATTTGGAAAATTTATTCAATATTATCAATGGTTTAGGGGCCACTTCTATAGTTTGTGTACCATTTTAGCCCTTTACCCCCTTTCTCTTCTGCCTTCCAGGTGTGTGTGTGTGTGTGTTTTAAATAAACCTTCGGAGGTGGGAAGTGGAAGAGATCACCCCTCTGGATATAGAGAACTGGATGTCCCCTCCTTTGTGGACTTGGGAAGTCCCTCATGGAAGCAAGACTCAGCCCTGATCCACTCCCTTCCTTGAAAGGCTCCAGAGAGGTCAGTTCCTGAAAACTGGTTGATCTGAGGGTTTTTATCTTTATAGTGCTGCTCAGACACACATCCAATCTCCATTAAATAGCCAAAGAAAAGGGAACCCTGGGTGATACCTGATGTATACATGTGTGATGTCATTTAGTCCCAGTGACACCTTGAGCAGTGGTACTATTGCATTTTTTTTTTTTTTTAAGTAACTGAGGCTTAGCTCCAGTTAAAGTATTTGCCCCAGGCTCCACAGCTAAATGGCGGTAGAGATTTGGCTCCAAAACTCAGGCTGTTTCTTCTGCATTCCATTTCTACAGGCTCCATGGTGGCAGAAAATGTGACTGCTGAGATCACCATTTTATAACTTGCACTGAGCTCGGTACCTGGCTTATAGGAGGATCTTGGAGAATGTTTGCTTCTTTTAAAGGAATACAGTCTAGCAGTAGGAAGCATGAAAGGCTAATGAATCATCTCAAATGGATGTGGACTTGTTATAGTGGCGGCCTCACCTGCTAGGCTATGCAATGACTGGGTCAGGGCAAAGCAGTCTGTGAGGACACATGGCAGCACAGAGCCAGCTCAGGACCACATCCAACCCCCTGCTTTTGTCCCTTCTGCTTCTCTTGAGTACATAAGATATTATGGACCTTTCACTTCAGTATTTCCCAAGGTATTTTTAAAAATTACTGACCCTGGGAGATCCTTGGTTAAAAAAAGAGGGCCACAAGATCAAATATAACTCCAAAAATGCTACTTTCATAGAGATTTACAAGATACATAAACATAGTAAAGGATCTGAGGTTTCCTGGAGCAAAAAAGTCCTATTTAACTCTGGAACCTACTTTTCCCCATAATATCTATTAGTTTAAAACACAGAGTCTGTAATTGGACTCCCAGGTGCCATTTCTGCCTTGCTCTACTACACATTAATAATGTAGTTACATGCAAATAGTCCCCCTAAACCTCAGTTTCCCCTTCTTGAAGAAACAGGGATGTTAACTATAGCTCATGAGGTTGTTGTGAGGATTATATGTATATGGCTTTGCTTAATGCCTTACAGATAGTAAGCACTCTCTTGTGAGCTGTTAGTTTTAGTATCCCATGGACAAAATGTTCTTCATAACATACCATGGGATTAAATTCTTCC